GTCATTGTATCGAAAGGAATTGGCAGATACAGAAGAATTTAATGAAAGAGCATTTGAGCCAGAGCCTATGGTGATGAAGGCAGAAGTTCAAGCTGCTTTGAAGGAAATAGCAGAAAATAAGGCCCCTGGAATAGATGGTATACCAATTGACATATTTCAGCTAACAGATTCTGCCGCGGATGTGCTCACCAAGTTGTGCCAAGAAATCTGGAGAACAACCACTTGGCCAACTGACTAGAAGAGGTCTATTATTTGTTCCCATCCCAAAGAAGGGCGACCCAACTGAGTGTGGAAACTACAGGACAATATCATTGATTTGATTGTTCATAGGATACTTACAGAAATTTCTCAGTATCCATGTCATTTTCTTGGTAGAGTTATTCTCTATATTTCATCCATCTTCTTTTTGATGCTTTCTGCATCATCCAAGACCATTTTTCAGATCCTTTTTTCGTTTTGGTTCTAGCCCTTAGTGTACTTTTAAATGTCTTTTTGTCATTATCATCAAATTAGAACCAAATCATAGCTGGCCCTCCAGTGGCTTTTCAGAGGCTTTAAATCGAATGGAAGGAGACTGCTCATCTTTATCAGTGAGCAGTTGGTGAATTTAAACCATTTGCCTGGGGATGGCAGCGCAACTCCTGCCTAGCCTTACCCACTAGGTCATCAGTTGATGTTAGTTACTGTTGAAGCAAGTATTACTCAAAGAGACCCCATGAACACAGGATCTGAACCTTGTCTCATCCCCTGCCAGCATCACCTCTGATACACTCGAGCCCATTGCCAGAGTCACTGTGTAACACTGAGTAAATTCATCTCCTTGAAAGTGAATTTATCTTTGTTGACCCTCCACCTGAACAACCCATAGATTGCCCAATAAATAAACATGTCTTGGAGAAAGTGCAACCAGGGTGCTCCTTAAAGGTGAGGATGGCAACTTTGGGGCATGTTGTTAACAGGGGCCAGTCCTTGGAAAAGGACCTCATGCTAGGCCACCAGTTGTTGGGAACCATCTAGTTGAAACTGACCCTCCAGTGGGTTTTCAGACAGTAAATCTCAAGGGAGAAGACTGCCTGCCCATCCTTCTGCAGAACAACTGGTAGATTCAAATCACATGCCTTTGGAATTGCAGCTTCTTACCACTAGCCAGAGCCCTTCTTAATGAGTAGCTTTACTTTCCATATCTCGAAGGCTATAAAATCTGCAAGTAACCAAGGTCACTTTGGTCTGCATGGGTCCACTTTGTACTCTTCATTAAATAATATTTTCTCTTGATGGACACAGTTTGGAAGATATCTTGGAAACCATTTGGTACAAATGGCTTCATTTTACTTTGTGAATTCACACAGCTCTCTGGAGATGACTGGATTACAGGCCATTTTCCCCTTTGGGTAGCATAGACCCTAGAGAGTTGAGCTGCTAACCAAAAGCAACATCTCTCTGGCAGTTTGAACCACCATCTGCTCCACAGGACAAAGAGGAACAACACTCTCCTGTGTAACTTACAGACTCCAAAAACCCACTGAAGAGTCAGCTATGAATGAAGCAGTCCCAACTCCACAGCTGACTTGACTTCACCTCATTCAGGGATCCCTGGTGGCATAGTGCTCAGTTTACTTCTTCAAAACTACATATTGAGTATTTCATTGTTCCAGAAGTGCTTAATTACTTCTCAGTTTATATTTCTAGAATGCTCCATTTCTCATCAAAGAAGGATGGTACAATTATTCAAAATTGTATTGCTAATCCCTACGTCACTGCAGACATTCTTACTTTTTTGTAGCCTGTAACATAGTCATGCCCACAGGGAGCTTGAGTTTCCCAGTTGTAAGTATCTTAGTCATTTTGTGTGAGAATCAGCAATCAATCACTTGGTCTGTGTGTAAATATGGTAGTTAAGAAGTGCAGCCTTAACTCCATATTAAAGTTTTGACAAAGAGTCTGGAATCCGAGTTGAATTTTTTTTAAGAGCCATCTTTCTAAATGGTAGTCTCTTTACCCTTGCTGCTAACCTGGGTCATATATCTCAAGGACAACACTCTTTTCTGTTTAAGGTCTAGCTTGTGCAGGATATCTAACCTCTTTCCAAAAAGTTTTTATTATAGACAAACAGATGTAAGAATAGTCTTGAAATACAGCATTATCTGAATCTTTAACATGAACCTCCAGAAACAGACATGATCGAGAAAGAGTATAAAAAAACCAAACCCTTGGGAATTGACTCAGAGTCATTTCCAAGTTATGGCAACTCTCCATCAGATTTCCATTTTGCAGATGACAAAATCAAGAATCAAATGCTTCCTATCAACTCCTAAACTGTTCAACCCTTAAATCTTCAGCAATCAATCTTCCCATCAATCTTATGCTATAAGAAGGCAGAAAGTGCCAATGGCACTCAGTGATTTAACTTTCCCTAGGGAGCTCTGGTGGCTTTGTGGCATGAAGCTGCACTGCAATCCCAAAGACACAACATTCGAATCCTCCAGCTGTTGCACAGCAAAGATGGGACATGTCCTCCTGTGAAATTAACTGCCTCTGAAAAGCAGCTGTGGAGTCAGAACTGACCAAAGCTGACCCTCTGGTGGGGTTTGAGAGGCAGTCCATGACACATGAGACTGCCCATCCTTCTCACACAGAGCAGCTGGTGGACTGCAGTCACTGTAAACTCAGAAGCACATGGTTCAAATCCACCAACTGCTCAGTAGAAGGATGGGTAATCGCCTCCCCTGTGATGTACCGTCTCTGAAAACCCACCAGAGCGTCAGCTATAAATTAGTTCCAACTGGACAGTACACAGTAACTATGTATCTATTATTGGGAATCATATAGTCAGAACCAACCCATAGCTGTATATGTTAGTGTACTAAATAAAGTACGCACAAGATATTGGTTGGATTAATAAATACATGCAAGCTCTGGCAGCTAAGTGGTATGGAGCGGTGCTGCCAACCTTAAAACATGGCTCAAATCCACCATGATTTTGCTCCATGTGCAAAAGACAGGCCATCTCTTCTCATGTGATTTACTGCCTCAGAGAGCCCACCGGAGGGTCAGCTGTAAGTAGGTTCTGGCTCGATGGTACATAACAACAATAATTATATATATGCAAACTGAATGTATTAGTGTCATACCAGTTATGAGAGGAGATGCTCTAGTCAAGTGTAAATTAAATGCAAACACAACCCAACACTATTGAAATCAGTGTTCCTTTTCTTTCTCACTTTCCACCACTGTAGCTTCTTACACAGGCATCCCCTTTACAGAAGCTTCAGTGTGAGAGTCTTTACCATTTTAAACAAGCTGATCTCTATCAACTTCAGGAGATATTATTAAGATGAATTCAGTATTTGTGTGTATGAGTTGAGGGAAATAGGGGTGGTTAAAGTATAATCCAAAATTCCTGTCAGGTTGCATTTCTCTGCAAATATATTCTGCTTTTTGTATTCTTTCCCCTTATCTTTCTTGACAAGTAAATCTCATTGGATGGTGTAATTCAGCTTCTCATTATCCTCCTCCAGGTACGAAAATAACTCGTTTCTACCAATATTTTTGAGCCTTTTAATATACATTACAAATATTTTAGACCAATCACATTTCGTGTGTAACATATTTACAAAACAAAAATAATATAATAAATATGAATGAAACAGTGAATCTGACCAACAACAAGTTCTGTCACAACCAGATATTTAAAAGGAATGCAAAAACCTGTTGGTTTGCATGTGTTAAGAGTTTTGAGATAATTAGGAGTCTAGAATTATAATATATCTAGGAAAGAAATAAGGGAGGAAAATCCCCAAATTTAAGTTAGGTAGGATTCTTTCTCATTGCTAGTTATGTAGCATTAATTTGGTGATGTTTTAAACTGTGAACTTTGATGAATCATCCAAATGTGATACAAAGCTAAGATAGATCTATCATTTCAAAATGTACATGACATCCACATAATATCCTTTTAATTACTGTTATATACTGTAGTTCACACGATATCTACAAATATGAATGAGAAAGAAAAAAAATAACAGGTCACTGCAACATGTCTCACATTCCAATTTTAAATAAGACAAGCACATACTCAATCAAACATTGCATCATAATACATTAATAAATAACACCTAGTTGTTATGGTTATCTTGAACAGTTTACAGCTGTATATTTTAAGAGAACATTTTCTGCAGTTTTCACATTGTCAGTTAAAGGTAAAATAAATAATGAAGTTTTATAACTAAAAAAAGAGAAAAAGCGGTATCTATATAGAACACAAATAATTTTTGACATGCTGCTTTTCTGGTATAGTTTGCCACTGAAAATGAAAATTAAAAACAAATGATTGTCATTTAAAAACAATTTTTGGAAGCTTCCACAATATTAAGTATAAACCTTTACGTTTAACGTGGAAATCTTTTTGCCCATTAGCTTTGCATATGTGTAATATGCACACTGTGTATGTGTACCCCAAAACCAATCTGCTAGAGTCACGGGATACAAACTGGTGAGTGTGCTGAAAATGAGAAACAGCCAAAATACTGAACTAAAATCCAATCAGTTTGAGGTCTGGAAAGGTTTTATTCTCGTTTTATTTTCAAAAATGTCCTGGTGTGAATGTTTTTCCTTTGGATTTCCAACTGCCTTTAAAACAATACACCCTGCTGTACTAATTCAAGTGGTCTCTTAACCAGAGGTAAGGGGTGGGGATCTGGTTCCTCAGAGCAAAATACTGACAAGACATCTGAGTTGGTCTCTTCACAGCCTCACTGCAACTGCACATTTCTCAGGCCAAATGTTCGGTTTTATCTTCTATTCTGTTATCACAACCACTCAGAAAACGAGAGAATACTGAGTCAATGCTGGATAGCAGTCTTGACAATATCAAGCCTTATGGGAAAACTAGAAGTTTTGTTCAAGTTGGGTTGATGTTTTTATGCTAATAAGAACTTTTTTTTCCTTTAACCAACCACAGTTTTCTGAAGAGAATGGAAGGCAGCACCCAACCCCTGACCAGGATTAAAGATTCCCTCATCTGCAGAGTTCCTATTTTCTTTGGCCAGTGTTTTCACTAATTTTTTGCTTACCCAGGCAGTCCATGGTAATAAAAAACTGCAGTATAATCACTTTCCATAATTCAGGTCCTTTTGCAATGTTAATTCTTCTAACCAAGAAAAGGGTACAGTATGCTAAAGGCCACAGTAAATTTCCATTTAAAACAAAATAAAACAGAAAAACTTGCTGGTTGTGCTCCTCAAGTCTGTGTAAAGCCATAGCTCAAATTACAGCTTTTCAATAAAATCTAAAAAACATTATTTAAAACCATCATGTATTTCTATTATCTTAACTTCAGCTCACTTAATCCTATTCTCAATGAAATGGATGTTGCGCCTTCGGTGGCCTGGGGTTCCACTTCTCCCAGGCCAACAGCTGAAGAGGCTCCCCAAAGTACAGGCTGGAATGTTGTAACTCCCCCAGGTTACTGAATGAATGTTCCTCTGAATCTCTGGTCGTGTAATTCTGGGGACTTCAAGAAACCAAACATCCACATTCCTTATCAATGAGGAATTAATTCACAAGTAACTTAACGGTTTAGTTAGTATTGGAAACATGTTACTGGACTTTTTGGTTCATCTGTGAATACCTCAGAATTGTGACACACACGTAAGCATTAGCACAGGTCTGCAGCAGAAATGAGAAAGCTCATTAATTAATACAAGGGCTTCTGGCCTTGATTTTCAAATTCAGACCAGGCATCATTTAGTTCCATGAAAATCATCTTTGCATATTGTTCGTAGGGTTGCCCAGTAGCCTACAGGAAGAACAGAAAAATACATTAGAAACCACAGACCAAAATTCATTTCTACTAAATTACTGAATGCTAAAGCACAGGCTCTTGGATTTTTTAAAATATTGCTATTCTTCTTTTTATTCTTTAATCTATGGGATCCTAATTGTTATGATCTCCCTACAGCACCCACAGTCTAGCAACTTACATATGGTGGTGATAAAAAAGTTAGATAACAAGACTCATGAGCAGCAAAATATGCATCTACATTTCCCAGGAGTGTCGACCATCAGTACAAAGGTTCACTGCAGTCTCTCCTCAGCAGATTGTATTTCTAAACTCCCATTTTCCCTATTTCTAAAATAAGGGCATTCGAAAATTTTTGATTCATCTGTGAACACTTCAGAATAATGACATGCACAATTCCTTTTCTTTCTCTCTCTTGATTCATCAAAGCTCAAACGGAAAGTTGCTCTCATTAATTTATTCAGAATAAACATAATAAATCACAAAAAGATAAAACCAACTTTTTCAAATTCAAGTGTGTCCCCCAATGTGGCATGCCAGTCACAGCTATGTGTCATATAACATGATACAGTCTATACAGCAGCAAGATGTCTAACTTATGTTTGGGATATTTCTATATTTATACTTAGGTAATTGTTCAATTCAGCTTCGAGGTAGTCAAAGTTTCTGACTATATATACACAATTAGCATGTGCTGATTATTCAGTAAAAACATAGAATGGCACAAGTGACATGGAGCCTCATTTATTTCATTTTGAATACTGTGTAGTTACCTCCAGTTTGAATAAATACATTTTAAGATTCTATCACTACAATCCTGGTTAAATACACTGCTGTATCTACAAGGAGAAAAGCTTTCTTGTATCTATTTCTTATCTCTTACCTTATTTTTACCATAACAGGTCATGATACAATTTACATTTGATCCCTAAAAATGTAATCACTAGTGAATCTTACATATCTCTAAGTAAAGCTCTCACACTATTACATAGTTTGATCTATTTTCCCCCACATCATGAAATACATCTATTTGTTTACATATCCATTTTTATCTCATAAATTTTTTTAACCACAACCACAATTTTAATACATTAACTTTTTCTTTTTCATTGTCCATATTTCTTTTTAATATTAATTAAATATTAATATTTAATTGTTTAATATTAATATTAATGAAATAGTTTAATCAACCAGCATATTTGAAGCATGATTCTTACAAAATGATGAAATGAAGACAGCACAAAAAATACAATACAGTTAAGTCATACTCACTTTATCTGGATGCACGACCAGGACGGCCTTCCTATAAACCTTCTTTACCTGCTCTGGTGTTACCAGGTCTGCCATGCCAACTGGTTTCCACTTGGTCTCCCCAGCCCAGAGCACAGTGTGCATTGTGGAGAGGAGGGCTCTGATATTTCTTTCTTTGCCTTCAATCCATTCTAGAATCTGCAGGTAAAGGTGAATTAAGGAATTCAAATGCCTTTCAATCTAAAAGCTTTCCAGAGGACTTCAGAGACCCCTGCCCCAGTAGTGATGAAGTGCTTAAACATTCTGCATACCGTTTCCCCTCTTGGGATGTTTTTCCAATGTCTACCTCCTGCCTTGCTGATATGCTACTAGCTTGCACAAGAATTTCATACCACAAATACACAAGAACAAAAGGGCAGCCTTTGCCCAGGGATAAAGCTCAGAAGGCAAGAAGGGCTAGGAAAAAAGTATTAATAGAAAAAGGAAACACAGGGAAGAATACTGGAATACTGCCACAGTGTGGCGATTGTAATAAATGTCATAAAAGTGTTTTAAGTTGTTGCATGGAAAACCACTTTGCTTTGTAAACTTTCATTCACACCATAACAAAAAGTTTAAAGAAAGAAAAATATCATGCTTTTAACACTAATAGTTTGAATGTCTTCTTATCTCATCCCTAGAGTTACTTAATTAAAACCAAACCCACTGCCTTTAATTCAGACTCCCAGGACACTGTAAGACAAAGCAGAACTTCTCCACAGTTTCCAAGTCTGTAAATCTATTACAGAAGCAGACTTCCGCATGATCTCCCCTAAAGCATACACCTCATTGTTTTGTTTCCTGCCAAATGCCTCCATCTAGTACAATGTCTATGGTCTGGCCTCAGGGTATTATGCAGCTAACCGAAAGGCGTTGTCTCTAGTGGTTCAAATCCACCAAGTGCTCTGAGGGAGAATGACTTTGCAGTCTTCTCCAATTTACAGCCTGGTAAACGCTACAGAGCTCCACTGTGAGTTGGAATTGACTCAACAACAGTAAGTATGAGTTGTGAGTGGAGTATCTGGTATGTGATACACAGTATGTCCTTCAAAAGTGAATTTCTCTGAACTACACTACCTAGGCCTGCAATGAGATGGACTGACATAGGAATTGCAACAATGAGTTCAAACAATAACAACTGTGAGGGTGGAACAAGACAGTGGAGTGCTTTATTTGGGTGACCACAGGTCCAGTAAGAGTCGGAACCAACTCAATGGCACCTAAACCAAACATTCTATTGTATAGTGTACACACTTCTGTCATACTATCTGCTATGGTTTATTGCAGTTCTTTGTGTTTGTCTTGTCCAGTCATTAGGTAGAACTCCCTAAGAAATGCTATTGCTTCTTATATAAGCTTCTATCTCAGGAACCAAACAATATGCAGCCTGACACAGAGTATAGAACAAAATATTTTAAATGCATTTATCTGTTATGGTCAAACTTGAATGATACTCAGCTGGTAACCCAAAGGATGGAAATTCAAACTCAGCCAGTGCTTCCATGGAAGAAAAGGTCTGGTAATCTGCTTTGGTTAAGATTATAGCAAAAAACACAGCCAACCAACCAACCAACCAAACAAACAAACCAAACAACCCACCTATGGGGCAGTTCTACTCAGTTACAGGGTGTCACTGTGAGTCAGAATTGATTCAATGACACAAAACAACAACATTCAAATATGAACATTTGAAGTTTGAACAAATGAGAGGATGGGAAGGCTGCCAATCAGCACTTAGCACCTAAGGGCAGTTGAATGAACACCTTGTATTGAAGCACAGGTTTAGACATGGTTAATGATGGCTGCTCTCCTGTACAAAGTAAATACTCTTGACCATTTAACATGCAAGTATTGCTTAAAGGAAACTCATCACTTTTTCTTTTAAATATAAAGTATTGTCCTACTATGTTATGGGGAAAGGACACATCTCTGACACAGTCCTTTCTGGATTTTGAGCCACGTTGTGTTCCCTTTCTCTGTTCGGACAACAATTCCTGATCTAGGTGTAAGTTTAACATGAGCAAAATCAGGTTTTCTGGGATTCCCATTCTTCTCAAAGTTAGCCACAATTTGTCGTGATCCACACAGTCAAATGATTTTGTGTAGTTGATAAAACACAACTGGAAATCCTTCTAGTACCCTCTACTTTCAGCCATGATCCATCTGACATCAGCAGTGATATCTCTAGTGCCATAGCCTTTTCTAAATCCAGCTTCTATTTCCAGCAGTTCTAGTCATTTTTGATAGAAATATTTTGTTTGCATGAGCTGTGGTGCTGGAGAAGGCTATTAAATGTACCATGGACTGCCAAGAGAGGGTTAAACCAGGCTACTCCTTGGAGGCAAAGATTCTGGGGCTTCGTCTGACATACTTTGGACATGTTGCAAGGAGAGACAGGTCTTTGGAGAGGGACATCATGCTGGGTAGAGTGGAGGGACAGCGCAGGAGGGGAAGACCCTCTATGAGGTGGATTGATTCAGTGACTGGGGTAATAGGGACGGGTGCCAGAGGCAATGCGATTGGCACAGAATAGAGCAAGGTTTAGGGCTGTTGTACATAGGGTCGCTATGAGTCGCAAACGACTCGATGGCACATAACAACAACAACAATGCGATATTAGTGATACTGGTAGTCCCCTTTTTGGGGAATGGGACCTCTACCAATCAGGTGGCCAGGGAGTTGTCCTCCAGATTTCTTGGCACAACTTGATAAGCACATCCTGGGTTGCATCTGTTTGTGAACTGAAATATGTCAATTAAGAGTCCATCAATTCCTGGGGCCTTAGTTTTCACCAGTTCCTTTAGAATAGCTTGACTTTCCTCCTTTATTTATCATTGGTTGTTGATCACATGCTATTTCCTGAAAAGGTTCTGTGTCAGCCAATTCTTTTTGGTACAGTGGCCCCTTGTATTTGTTCTGGCCCTATGTATTCGTTCTTTCTTGCTTGGATGGTTCCTGGATTGTTCACTGTATTGTCCATAGCATCTTTAAGTACTGCAACTCACGGCTTGAATTTGTTCTTCAGTTCCTTAAGCTTATGATATGTTGATCAAGTTCTTCTCTTTTGATTTTCTGACTCCAGCTCTTTGCACATTTCATTATAATACTTTCCTTTGTTTTCCTGAGTTGTTCTTTGAAATCTTCTGTTCAACTCTTTAACTTCATCGTTTTTTCCCCTTTGTTTTGGTTTCTCAGCATTCTAGTGCAATATTCAGAGTCTCTCTGACATCCCTCTTGGACTTTTCCTCCTCCTATGTCTCTGTAAAAACCTCTGCTTTCTCCATGGATGATATCCTTGATATCATACCATAGTTTATTTGGTCATCTTTCATCAGTGTTCAGTGCCTCAAACATATTCTTGAGATGGTTTTTACCTTCAAGTGGGATAGACTCAAAGCCGTATCTTGGGTTTTGTTTTAATTTTCTTTGGCTTAAATTTGAACTTGCACATGGTAGCTGATGGTCTGTTCCACAGTCACTTTTGTTATCACTTTTATTTATTTTTTTTAGTAAAAAAATATACACGAAAGTATAGAATGTATTTTATGAAAGAACATTAAAAACGTATGCTATCCTACCCAAGGCTACTGTCCAATTAAAGGGTCACAGTTCCAGGGACAAGATGAAATATTGAGGTTACCAGAACTCTAATGTTGTTGTTGTTGTTGTTGTTATGTGCCGTCGAGTCGCTTGCGACTCATAGCGACCCTATGTACAACAGCCCTAAACCCTGCTCTATCCTGTGCCAATCGCATTGCCTCTGACACATCCATCCCGATTACCCCAGTCACTGAATCAATCCACCTCATAGAGGGTCTTCCCCTCCTGCGCTGTCCCTCTACTCTACCCAGCATGATGTCCCTCTCCAAAGACCTGTCTCTCCTTGCAATATGTCCAAAGTATGTCAGATGAAGCTCCAGAATCTTTGCTTCCAAGGAGTAGCCTGGGATGAATAGAGGGCTTTCTAATAGGTCCACGCACATTACCATGTCACATAGGATATGCAACTGGGAGAAGAGCTGACTCACCTTTAATTTCTCAGGATCCATTTCTTTAGCCATTTCCTCCTTTCTCATCTCAGCTATAGTTCGAGGCCCCTTTTTGTCTTTGTGGGCATTGAAGCCTTGACTAGAGAGCAAGTCTTCAAAGTCAGCTGCCTTTTGTTTCCCTTCTGTAATACAATTTTTGAAAATCACTAGTTTTTAACTCTTAAATATTAATATTGTATTATCTCAAAACACTTGGGAGTTTCAGAGTAACTTTATATGCTTTAAGTCCCTGAATCCTGAACTTACCTTGTGAGTAGGGTAAGAGACTATCATGCTATTTTACATATGAGGAAAATGGAGCCTGAAGGCCAGTCCAGGTTCACATGACATGTCTATCACAATGCTGTAACTTAGGACTGAATGGTTAAGACTAAAGCAGTTTCCCTTCTACTGTACCATCTTTTATAGATAAGATTACTCCTGATTTCCCTCAAGTCAGTTAGTTTTGATATTTGAAATCTAGGAATTGCAAATACAGGATACACATAACAAACAGTGCTGCTCATACCTGGATGACATTCTAGTGAATTATTATGCTATTACCCCCCCCCCATCTAGTTGTAGCCTCACCATCTTTATCTGCCTGCAGTCTAGCACTGTGTCAAAGAGCAAAGGAAGACCTTAGAGCCAGACTCTTTACATTCAAATATTAGCTTTACTATTTATTAGCAATGGGACCTTTAACAAGTTATTGATCATCCCCATGTACAATGGAGTTATTAATAATATTATCTATACCCAGACAATTGTCTTGAAAATTAATGAGTTAACATTTTCAAGAATTTAGAATGGTGCTTATTTAGATGTTCACTAATTTAAAGCAATATAAAACCAAAACACAGCAATCCATGCAACCAAGGTCAATGAGCCAAAGTTGGAGTATGATTTGAAATCTGTTTGCTACTTCTATGGGAAGTCTCAAAACTGCACATGTATAAATTCAAACATAAGTGCTACAAAGCTAGGGGTTGTCTATCTTTTAAATTGCTTTGTTATCAATGTTTTCTGTACTGAAGATGATCTGTAAATATCTGCTAATTAAAGACTCACCCCCACATCCACTAAAAACAAAAATGAAAAGGAAGCTACATGACTCTACGGAATTGTGCAAGGAATATCTTCTTTTAACCAAAGACCAAATGTGATGTTTCCTATTCTCAAAAAAATAATTTCTAGCATGTTAAGTCTGTGAGAAGGTAAGGATGACCCCTGTGTTGCAGCCCACTGAGTGTGCTGGCTAAGGGCAGTGGTCCTGAGAGGGAGCCCTTCTTTAGGAAGTAGTGAGCTGCTGTTCATAAATGAGAAATTAGGCATCAATTAAGTGTACTGATAAGTTGTGTACCTTAAAAATGCTAAATTGATAATAAAAAAAATGTAGGAGTCCTTGAGTCACACTGCTTTGCTTCAAATCCTAGTCCTGCGTCTGAAAAGCTTTATGAACTTTAGGGATCTACTTTGCCAATCTATGTCACAGATATTTAATCTACAACCTAGGGTTGTTTTGACAGTTCTATGGCCATTACAAATATTCAACAAATGGGAGCTGCTGCTACTAGAAGATCCAAATTGTCTTTTCCATTTTCAGTAGAGATCAAGACTACTTCCAACTCAAAGACAAGCTGTTTAAATGCATTTGCTCCTTGGGAGAAAGATGGCCAATCTCCTCCCATGCGAAGTACTGCCTCTGAAGACGCGCTGGAGGGTCAGCTTTGAGTCCGTTCTGACTCAATAGCAATGAGTTACAACAAAACCTATAAAAATAGATTTCTTTCTACTTTTAATCTAGAATACCATCCAGAGCATCCCCTATCCCAAACTGGAGCCCATTTTGTACTATTTTAACTTTGCTCTCAGAATAGAGGAAAAACCTGTCAGGGATGTTTGGGTGGCCTTAGGACTATCTACAAACTAGTGTTTAAGAAGGAACAAACGTCCAAGACATATACACCAGCAGATGAAAAAGAAAAAAAACAAACAGAAATTTTTTAAAAAAACAAAGAAATTCAGTGCAACAATGAATGAATGGAAATCCAAAGTCTTTGTAAACTTTCATTAAAATGAATAAAAAAGTCAATCACAAAAAAATTTGTACTATTATAATAACATACAACTTTCTTCACAGAAGGTTGTGTTAAATAACATATGAAAAAAAAATTAGTATTTGCTTACAGCGGTTTAACAATTTTCTTGTTGTCTTACAGTTGTTCAATGAAGGAGCCAGAATGGAAACAACATGCGAACTGTATGTATACTCTATTCCATCCATGTATGGTGGCAATAAAGAGAGATACTTGACATAAAAAAAATATGGGAATTCAGAAGGATCCAGCAGGGACTTGAAAAGACAGGGTAATGATAGGCATGGTCAAATGGTGATTAATTTTATAAAACATAATTGCTTGCTATGTGCTCGAAAGCTGGACAACGACAAGGGATGACAGAAAGAGAACTGATGCCTTTGAGCTGTGGTGCTGGAGAAAAGTATTTACTATACCATAGACTGTTGGGAGAACAAACAGGTTCATCCTGGAGAGAGTGAAACCAGGCTGCTCCTTGGAGTGAAGGATGCTAAGGGTTCATCTGAGATACTTTAGGCATGTTTCAAGGAAGGACCAGTCCTTGCAGAGGGACATCATGCTTGGAAGGATGGAGTGACAGAGTAAGAAAGGAAGACCCTCAATGAGATGGACTGACTCAGTGACTGGTATGTCAGAGACAATAAGGTTGGCACAGGATGAAGCAGGTTTCAGGGCTGTTGTACATAGGGTTGCTATGGGTTGCAAGTGACACTCAATGTCACATAAAAACAACAAACAACAATGCATGGAAATGACTGTATGAAACAATGTGAATGAAGGACAGTATGAAATGTAACATATACAAACTTTGTTAAGAAAACCAATATAAAATTAAAAAAAAATTACGAATAAAAAATAAATTCATGTTAAGAGTGTGGTAACTTTAAGGAGTTCCAGGCTCAGATTATGTTGTGTTTCTGCAGCTGTAGTAAGAATGCCTCAAAAACTACCAGACATGTTTTCTTTGTCTTCTCTTATATGTACCTAATTGACAGCAGCAAAATGAAACATGAAGACTTTAAAGCCAAGCCTCAAGCTATCACTCTTACCCACATTAGTGGTTCCTTTCCCACGTTCACTCTGGCCCCCAGGCATGGATGAGAAGCTCACATTGTAGTTGGGTCGGTTCTGTGGTGATGAGTGGGGCATGCTGGGCTGCGGCTTGGACTGTGACTGCTGCCAGCTGTACCCACCACCCTGCTGCCACCCTCCACCCATAGGCTGGGGAGAGGCCTTCTGTGGTGAACTGAGAGGTGGAAATCCTCCACCCAATCCAGTCGGTGTGGTGGGTTTGCTGGCAAATGAAGAACTACCTATGGGGGGGGAGGAGGGAGAGAGAGAGAAAGTAAGTAAATAATATCACCTCTTGTGCCCAAAGATATTATTTGCAATTACTTTAGAATAAAAATCCAGGACAGAATAATTAACATTCTTAGTAGTTTAAAAATTGGTAGAACATACATTATTTCATCTAATCCCCACAAAGATATTCTTAGGTATGTATTAATAACCACATTATTTTTTTTTCTCAGATGAAAAAATCTGCTGTTCAGAGTAGTTAAGTGAATTTTCCAAAGTCACACAGGTCCAAGTGTGAGATCTAAGACTTGAATCTAAGCCCCTGGCTCAAAGCCAGTGAAGCCCTCTCCAACACTGTGCCACCTCTTCCTCCTCACTGCGACCACAGCCAGGTTCCACTGCTTCTCTCGGTAAAAATAACCAAGTGTCAAGAGCAGGGAATAAAACAAAGTTAATTCATTAGGGGTCCACCAAAATCTTCATTATAAGGATTATTCACTGTTTGTATAAATACAAGCACAGTTAATGCCCAAGAGTAAATAATAATATCTGGAAATCTTGCAAGCAGATTTTAATTTCACACTTTGTGCACTTCACTGCAAGTCAGCAACGCAGCCAATACTCACTAACAACTCTGATCAAGACAGAGGATCTTAGTCAAGCTTTTAAAAATTATGCCCCTTTGTGCTAGGAATTTAAGTAGAATCTTCTTTTTTTTTTTTAAATCTTGATCTCTTAGTCCCCTATCTTTGAAGCTCTCACTGTGTGTGTGTGTATGTGTGTGTGTGTGTGTGTGTGTGTGTGCGTGCTGTTTCCCAAATATTCTCAAGACCAGCTGTGTTTATCTAAAGCAGTTTACTTAAAGCAGTAAACGTAAAAGCTGCAATGTGGTGATCTTTCATGTGACAAAGATGAGTTTTTATGCAGAGAGCCTAAAGAAGGAATGAAAAAGTAACTATCATTTATAAAGCTCCTCATGCTTTATTTCATGAGTCTGTATACATCACTGCCTTTAATCTACAGAACACACTTGGCAGATACTTTTGGTTCTACTTTAAAGACGAGAAAGCCAGTGCTCAGAAAGGGTTATTATTATGCTTGTAATCACACAGTTAGCTAATAGGGCTTAGAACTAACTGATAACAGATCCCCTAATTCCAAATCTCATACTCATTTGCTGCACTGCCCCTGATTTGCCTAATCTCCAATCCCTCCTCAAATCCCTCTCTTAACAACTCTTCCTTTATTGTGTCATTTTTCTGTAGATGTAATTTCTCTCTTTTCTCATCTTGAGACTCCTCTGTTCTTCCTCACTGGTAATAACTTGGGCTTGGAGTCTAAGTTTGAGTCTCAGCTCTATCACGGATGCATTTATTCATTGGTTCATATATTTATTTAGTCTGTTTTTGCTCAGCATCTACTCTGTGTTAGGTACTAAGAATATAGCTGAAAACACGATATGGAGAATCCTTGATGTTCCAAAACTGAGTGGAAAACTTCACCTCTTTGAGTCTCAGTTTTCTCACTTGTAAAATAAATATATATCTACACCACCAATCCGTTGTAATGAAAGGCTACATAAACAAAGCACGTGACGCAGAACTTCAAAATCCATGCCTCCAAGGAGCATGTAAAGGTATATATTCATTTGTAAACAAAGGCTATATGAAAATACTTCACAAACCTGGAGATAAAAACATTAAATATTATAAAATAATGCAAGTTCATGTGACCAGCACATGGCTGGTGGATCAAAACCAGTTAACCAGTGCTTAACCAGTAGCCTTCAAGTTGACTCCAACCCAAGGTGGCCTCGTGTGTGTCAGAGTAGAACTGTGCTCCACAGGGCTTTCGCTGGCTGATTTCCAGAAGATGATCACCAGGCCTTTCTTCAAAGGTTGTTGTTGTTATTGTTGTTAAGTGCCATTGAGTTGCAGGCGACTCACAGTGACCCTATGACGGCGAGTCCTCAATGCCTGGGTGCCTTTTATTCTCTCTCCAGGTTCACAAGGTTTCCAGAGGCAAGGTACTTTTGCATAAACAGAACTAAATCATCACAGGAGTTGCAATCTGAAGCCTGGCATTGCCTCCTCAGTTTGAAACTCAGAGATGGAGCCTTCCTGCTAAAAACATACCAACATACACCTAACACTCTGAGTGCATAGAGTTTAATTTTATATATTTAGGAAATCTTCATTCTGAATTATCCATGGTTTTTGCAGTTACTTGCTATGCATCAAAGAACAGGATAATGACTAAGGATGTCAGAAGAAGAATAAAAAGCTTTGAACTGTGATGCTGGAGAAGAGTTTTGAACATACCATGCACCGCCAAGAAAACAAATAAGTGTCTCAGAGAGGGTGAAACCGTATTTCTCCTTGGAGGCTACGATTTTGAAGCTGTCTCACATACTCTAGGCACATGGCCAGAAGGGAACTATCCTTGGAGAATGACATCATGCTTGCAAAGGTGACGGGACAGGGCAAGAGAGGAAGACCCTGGATAAGAAGAACTGATACAGTAACTGGGGCAATGGGGGTAGGTGTGTCGGAGTCATGAGACTGGCTCAGGACAAGTCAGGCTTCAGAGCTATTGTACATAGGGTTGCTATGAGTCACAGCTGACTTCATGGCATATAACAATGACAACAACCCATACATACACACAAGCACGTGTGTGTGTGTGTGTGTGTGTGTGTGTGTGCGCGCGCGCGCGCACGCACAGGTCCTGCCTGGAAAGGGTGAAACCAGGTTGCATCTTGGAGGCATGAATTTTGAAGTTCTGCCTCACATACTTTGGGCATGTTGCCAGGAGGGACTAGTCCTTTGGAGGAAGACACTTTGTTTGGTGAGGGTCACCTTAATGAAATGGGTTGACAGAGTGACTGTGGCAATGGAGTAAAACATGTCAGACAGAGATGGTGAGGTTGGCTCAGGATAAGGCAAAGTTCAGACCGTTGCTCACAGGGCTGCTATGAGTTGTACTCAATTCGGTGGCCGACAGCAATAAGAGCATTTACTTATTATTTAAAATATTTGCAAGTATGGAAAAGTGTAAAGAACTAAACTGGACTCCATAGTCTCATCCTATTTTCACTTATTCATTTAGTCATGAACCATGAATAGGCATCTTCTACAAGCTAGCCTGCACACACAGTGATGAAAAGGCAGATGTTGACCCTGCTCTAATGAAGTTCATCACATCACATAAAGTCATTATCATCTGAGCGAACCCACAAGCCAGGAGCCAAACTCTAGGGCTACCAATCCATAGTAAAAGCTAAAGCAGTGGTTCTCCTACTTGGCTGCCCAGGAGAATCACCCAGGAAGCTTTTAAGTCTCTGGGTGTCACACAGTGTGGGAATCCAAGTATCAAACTAAATAGTAATCAAGATGATAAACCAAATACTATATCAGGATATGAGGGAGGTGAAAATACAAGCTGGAATTCCTCCTGAGAGGTCACAGGGGTCAAGCACCAAGGCAGACCTTCAGGCATTTTCACAATTCTTGGACTGTATTTGCCAAGCCCTCTCTCCTGAGTCAAGCATAAGGTTTTCAATAAAAAGAGCTTAGCTTCATTTGCATAGAATTCTCTTTGTGATTTGCTCCCTGGTAATTCTCAATAAAGTCACAGGGAAGCCAGGTTAGGCGCTTCAGTCAAGCTGTTCATCCCCTGCCTTTTACGCTCTCTGTTTTATCTCAGTCCTGGTATCCCTGTCTCTTCTATGTCCTTGGTTTACAACAACACAGGATTTCCAACTACACTGCTAAATACAGGCTGTTCAAATTCATCTTTAACACTGCAGGAAAGCCTGGCAATTGGCTTCCATAAAGATCAGAGCCAAATAGGACTACATGGAGCAGTCCTCCTCTATCACATACTGGGAAATAAAGTTTGCTTTTAAAAAGTTGCAGAGATACATCCTGGATCAGTTAAATCAGAATGTCTATGGGAGAGGCTAACATTCTGGTGCTAGGATTAAAAAATGTTTAACATGCCAATATTTTGATGCAAAGGACACTGCCTTTTGTTTCTTAATTGCAGCCATATAATTTGGAAGCTTCATTTATATTCTCAGAACCCCAGCCTAAAAGCAAAAAATTTCTGACTTGTAACCTTTGTTCAGATACCAAATCTATCTGACCAAACTGCCTCTTACACTGCTTACTTACATGTTAATTTTGCTACAGTGAAACTCTTTGTCTGATACTCTTCTTGAAGCTCTAACTACACCTTAGAAGTCCAAAACTAGGCATTCAGAAGTGGTATAGTTAACAACAGAAACACTGATGCATTGCTTTGTATTCAAACTAACTTCAGGATTCAGAGGTTAAGTTCATTGAGAATGCAGGCATTTTAGGCTCCATGTACTAATACTAACTTTTTGTAACATCAAATATTTAGATTTGAGACTTTGTTTGTTTGTTTGCTATAAGTAAGTATTATTTATAAGTTAACCTGCTAAGTTTGTACCAAGTGTCCCAAGGTCGGCAAAAGGATCCAAAGTCTGGGGTTTATTTTGATGTGTGGGAGTGCCATGCGAAGATCCCGTGGGGCTGGTGGCAGCAGACTTGCTTCCCATTCCAAAACCTCCTGAGAAGGAAACAATGTTACAAATGAGGCAGCTGTCTTTAAAGTTCAGCATCATAGAGCTACTGTCTGTCTTGTCTCTAGGACAAAGGTCCAGAAGTATGTAAAACGTTGCTAACATGTTTCCCTAGCTTGAGTGAATCCCAGCCTGAAGCAGGGGCAGGGCAAGGAAAAGACACTTGCTGATTCCTGACCATACCTGTGAACTGCTATATTCAATGTTTACCTTTCAGTCTACCTGACTTCAAGCATTTCTATGGGCTTCATTGTCAAATTTGGGGCTGACTTCAGGCTCTGCCACTTTCTAGCAAAGTGATATTGGGCAATGTTTAATGTTCCTGAACTTCTAAGTTTCAACATTTTCTCATACCAAAAAAAAAAAAAAAGAAGAAGCAAAAATGGTTTCAGAAAGTCGTTGTGATTACCACAGACTATACACATATGGGTGTACATGTGTGTATTTGCATGAATCTGTACATGTTAGATATACACAACCTATGAGCATATCTATGCGCATGTTTATTTTTGCATTCATTTACATGGGTCTGTATTTGCATGTTTCTCGCTCTTTGTGTATGTGTGCATGTGTGTGTGTGTGTAATTTGCACAAGGTTGAAAATACAGTCAGAAAGGTAGCTTTCAATGAATGCCACCGTAGCCATGACAAGATCATCTCATCTATTGCAAAGAAATTCAACCCCAAAACAAGAATTTCCTGAAGGAAGATAATTCATATTAATTCAACACCTACTGTAGACTTTAACATAAGTTATGTCATTTACATTTAAATAGCTATGCAGAATAAAAATAATTACCCCATTTAGCAGTAAAAGAACTGATATTAGAACTTGTCAAAAAGAGATAGAGCTCTTCTCTATTCTATAAGGATATTCTATTCTTATTCTATTATCAAAGCAGAAGTAGAAAAACCAAGACCTGGAAAACTGAAATAACAAAATACATAGTATTATCGCACCATTAAGTATGATGAGGAAAGCTCATTAAGAAGGTATTCAGGAAAAATCACCAAATTACATGATTATAATGATGATTATATACTCACTTCATATTGTGTAAAGGATTATGATTTAGCAATTGGCTAAATAAGTACAAAAAATAACCTGCTAGTATTTACCTGGCTTAGCATGCCAGTCCCAGCCTCCTGAGACATCGGCCTGAATGTTCACAGCAGGTGTACTAGAAGCTGCAAATGAGAAGGGAAAATAAAAATAAGGTAGTTCAGAATCCACTTTTCTGAGTTCATACATGAAAATGCCATCTCTTCCATAAAGCCAATATAATTCTCTAGAACTCATTTTTTTCTGTGAGTTTTCTATATAACACTTGATACGTCATATCTTCATTGAAGGTATTCACATGTGGCTTGGTAGAAATTCCAAGTATATCATTTGCCCATTTTTCTTCTTTGGTTCATCTTCATATCCATCACAAAGTATGTGTTCAATCTATAAACTATAAATGGGTGTATGATGGATGGAGAGGAGACTAAAACTGTCAGCAGCTTCATCTTGGATCTACAATTAACACTCCTGGTACCAGCAGTCAAGATAAAGGAGATGCACTGCACTGTGAAAATCTGCAGTTAGGGACCTCTCCAAGTTACTGAGGAGTTGTGATGTCAATTTGAGGACTAAGATGTGTCTGGTTCAGGCCATGTTCTGATTACTTCCTATCCATCTGAAAAAGATGGACAATGATAAGGATGACAGAAAAAAACCCTGACACTTTTGAGCTGTGGTGCTGGAGAAGAGCACTGAATATCCCATGAATGGCCAAGAGAATGAACAGATATGTCTTGGAGAGGGTGGAGCTAGAATGCTCTTTGGAGGCAGTAATGGTGAGGCTTCACCTCACATACTTTGGACATATTGCTAGGAGGGGCTATTCCTTGGAGAGGGACATAATACTGGGAAGGGTGGTCGGCAAAGGAATGGAAGACCCTCAACCAGGTGGACTGAAACAGTGACTGCTGCAATGGGCTTTTGTTTGTCAGAAAGTGTGAGGATGGTGCAAGATAGGACAGGATTCAGATCTTTTGTTCAGAAGGTTGCTATGAGTCGTACTCGACTCAACAGCACCTAAAAACCACAACAAGGTGCTGTTGAGTCAAGTATGACACATAACAACCCTGTGAAAACCAGATATGAATCTTGTCCTATCGTTGTCATCCCTGGGAGTTCCTCAAAAACAAGGACTATTTTCTTAATCTTCGTGTGTTCTGCTTTAGCGGGCTGTAAGAAAAATGCAAGGAGGATATAGGAAGAGTGGAGGCAAAATTTAAACTCAGTTTACTTGACCTTGACATTAATGAGAATATTGAAAACAGTATTTGGAAGGGAAATAGTATGTAGAAGACTAAATCAGTAATGAGGAATATGTGATATAATCTAACATGGAGAAGCCACAGTGGATGTTTTATGTGAGTAAAGACTTAACCTACACTAACGTATCCTTTCTCACATGAGTAGCCAATATCCAAATACGAGGCTCTTTAGAGTGGATACTACTCCTAGGTGAGAGATAAACTGCTTGGACGGTGTCCTGTGGGCCCACTTCAAAGAATCTGAGATTTTAAATTATTATAAAAATCACCCACAAAAGTTGTTTCAGGACTGATTTATCTTCTCCAATCAAATTAGATTTTAACCAATGTTGTACAAATCTCTTTTCATTTGCATGATTTCCACAAAGTGAAGCAGATGACTAGACTATGTAGTCTGGTAAGCTTGCTGTTTAAGTTATATAGTAACAATATTAAATAAAATAAGAAGAAAATAGATGAAATTATGCTCTTGCCAGCATAGCAAGTGATTGAAAAGAGCATGGCCTCAATCTGGAGTACTTTAGTCCTCAAACTGCCATTGTTGGTCAAATATTTTCTCCATCTATCAGGATGTTGCCTATAGATCCAGGGTGAGAATTTTTGTTTTCTTGACACTGAGATGCAATCCACATTCAAGACTATATTCTTTGATTTTCTGCAGCAAATACTTCAAGCTCTCCTCACTTTCAGCTAGCAAAGTTGTATCATCTGCATAATGAAAGCTATTGGTAAGTCTTCTTCTGATCCTGATACCACATTGTTCTTCACCCAGTCCAGCTTCTTAAATGATCTGTTCAGCATACAAACTGAATAGTTATGGAGAAAGATACAACTCTGATGCATACCCCCTGATTGAGGCTCAATGTCAAGAAGACAAAGATTCTCACTACTGGAACAAGTGGCAGCATCAGGATGGATGGTGAAGAGACTGAGATTGTTCACAGCTTTAGATTGCTTGGCTCCACAGTCAACACTCTTGGCAACAGTAGCCAGGAAATTAAAAGATGTATTGTGATGGAAAAGTGTGCTGTTAGGGACCTGTCCAAAGTACTGAAGAGCAATGGTGTCTCTCTGGAGACTAAGGTGTATCTGATACAGGCCAAGGTCTTTGCTATCATTTGCTGTGCATCAGAGAGTTGGACAATGACTAAGGAGGACAGAAGGAGAACTGACGCCTTTGAGCTGTGGTGTTGGAGAAGAGTATAGATGGTACCATGGACTGTTAGGAAAACAAACAGATTCATCCTGGAGAGGGTTAAACTGGCTGCTCCTTAGAAGCAAGGATTCTGAGGCTCTGTCTAACATACTTTAGACATGTTGTATGGAGGGACCGGTCCTTGGAGAAGGACATCATGCTTGGGAGGGTGGAGGGAGACAGCACAGGAGGGGAAGGCCCTCTATGAGGTGGATTGATTCAATGGGGTAATCAGGATGGGTGTGTCAGAGACAGTGTGACTGGCACAGGACACAGCAGAGTTTAGGGCTGTTGTACACAGGGTCGCTATGAGTCAGTCACAAGCGACTTGACGGCACATAACAACAACAACAACAGTGTTCCCTTGCTCTGTTTGCACAACAGTTTCTTGGTCTAGGTAAAGGTTTCTGGGATTCTAATTCTTCTTGATGTTGGCCATACTTTGTAATAATCCACATTTTCAAATGCCTTTGCATAGTCAACTAAGCACAAACAGATATTCTTCTGGTATTTCTTGCTTTCAGCTAGGGTCCACCTGGCATCAGCTATGATATCCATGGTGCCATGGCCTCTTCTAAATGTACCTTGAACTTCTGGAAGTTCACTGTCTATACACCGTTGTAGCCATTACTGACTGCTCGCCTGCAGTAATTTGCTTGCATGTGATAATTTTAACATGATAAAGATAGAATATTAATGAGATATTTTACTATCCTCTTTGATATGAAGCTTTGAAATCAGGTATTTTATATTAAGATTAAATCTCAAATTAGATGCACTACATTTCAAGTTCTCAGTAGTCACATGTCGCTAGTGGCTGCTGGGCAAGACAGGTCTAATACTTCAGAATGATATATTTTGAGCTATTTTTCTTTGCAATACTAATTTTGTGGTATGTTAATATCTTACTAATTCTAAGGCATATAATTGTTTCACATTCCAAAGATCTGTATAATTAGATACATCTTCAAAATATCAGGCAGTACTTATAATTTATAAGATAATGATAGATCCTACACAAAATGATACTTTAGGATGCAGTGGGTGAAGTGCTAATGAAAAAAATGTTTTACAAAAGCTTAGTAAAATAAAGTTAAGCAGGTTTCTTTTCTGTAAGACATCCCTAAGTCTTTTAATTTTTGAAATGACATTTTATTATGTTTTCATGGAAGACTGACTAACAGTTTGGGTTTCCGTTCAACAATTTCTTCACACTTGTTCAGTGGCATGGGTTACAGTTTTCTTTCTCTTCAGGGTGTTCCAGTTCTATTACTTGAGTTTCCCTGCCCCTTTACATTCTTATCTTTACTTTAAAGTAGTTGTTGCTGCTGGTTGTGATCCAGCTGGCTTCAATTCATGTTATAATATAGAGATGTTGCCAAGTCCTCTAACAGCATGTTTGTGAGTTTGTTACAATATGGAGACTCTGGGATTTCTATAATGCTGAAAGCTTTTGGTATTTTGCATAAGCAGAGCCACCTATCTGGTGGGCAGATTCTCTAACAGCTTCAGTTGTTAAGTGCTGTCAAGTCAACTAGTACTCACAGCAACTTGATCAACAATAGATCTGAACTTTGCCCTATCCTGTTCCATCCTCACAATCTCCAAGTTCAAGTCCATTGTTACAGAAACTGTATCAATCCATATTGGTGAGGGTCTTGCTCTCTTTATTTGACCCTTCACCTTTCCCAGTATGACGTCTTTTCCAAAGATTGACCCCTTCTGACAACATATATGTGAGACAAAGTGTCACCAGCGAGGCCTCTTAAGGAGTGTACTGCTTACATCTCCTGTTCTCCAGGACAAATTCATTTGTTCTTTTGGAAGTAATACTTTTCTTCAACCACAATTCAAAGACATCAATTCTTCTGTGGTGTACCATTGTCCAACTTTCACATGGAGAAGAAGTAATGAAAAATACCATGACCTGGATCAGGTGCACCAA